TGTTTAAATTTTGTGATTTTAAACCATTGTAATCCTCCTGTAATACCTAGAAGTTTATTCATTAGTTTAGTGACCCCCCTCATTTAAAACACTATTCAGAAAACTTTACAGTTCAAATAACGTGTTTATATGAAAGAATTATATGCACTTTACTCATTTTCGAAGTTTCGAACTGCACATCAGGGATAAATAATTATTCGGTAACACTTTACAATAAGGTTCATTAGTTAACTAACATGAACTAACAAAGAGCAATACATTTGTTGCAGTATTTATTAATCTTTATTAATGTTAAAATAATGTTAACAAATACAACCTTTGATTTTAATAATGTGTTAGTAAATGTTGAAATTCATATTAACTAAGATTAATAAATGCTGAAGAAGTATTGTTTATTCTTAGTTCATGTTAACTTGGGTAACTAATGTTAACTAATGAATCTTACTGTAAATTGTTACCAATTATTCCTTCCTGCACAGCTCTGTACACACCACAAACACTCTCTCCCCCTCTTCAGTCAGATCCTACCAGCTGCATTATCCCATTCTTTTAGGTCAGTAGTCAGTTAAGCCAGATTAGGATGAGATCTTTCCCTCCCTGTGCTCAACAGAAATCATTCATGATGTGCACATGTGTTTGTTGTTGTCTGTGTGATTAATATGCTGCATATAATGTTTAACGATACAGAACGGAGGTTTGCGACATGTATTGTTTGCACGTTCTTTGCATGTTGTGAGTGATTTATCAGTTGCACACTATTATTTGGCTGCCATGTATTTTATTCTGTGTTGGATTGACATTTCCAGAACTTCCTTATATTGCAAATAATGCGTTGTTGTCACACTGTGCTATTGAGGACTCTGTTATTTGCATGCAGTGTCCAAATTCTAGGTTAATATTTATTTCACATTTGTTACCCCAAGTACCCATGGGCACATAGCCAAAACCATATTTATATTCTGTTAGTTCAGTGGGACTTCTAATTCATGACATGGTATGGTAGCATTGTGTTATTGACTGGTTATCTGCAGTTCTTGCACTGAATTCAACTGACTGACAAATGGCTGTCAATAACAAGGTTGTTTCAGATGCCTGCGTGAAGCTCACAAACTGTGGGCTCATTCATGAATGATGTACTTGCATTTTCTTTTAAGTATGTGGTTGTTACACAAATTGTGCAACATTGTGCACAAGAGCAATTTATACCACATTGATTGTCATATGAATGCAACAATTTAAGTTTCAATTTTGGAATTTACATTATAATTGCTTGTATGAATCCAACACTTTCCGTTACAATATTTACGAACAATTTACATAAAAATCGCTTGTTATTAAAATTGCTTATATGAATGTGACAATTTACATAAGAATGGATTTACGAACAATTTACATGACGTCATACTCATTTTACATACTCCTCGACATCGTATGAACATGAGTTTACATTAGTATACAATAACAAACAATTTCTATGAAAATTGTTTGCCGTGTTGTCACGTTTTATGTTAGAATGGCTTTACGAACAATTTATACGAAAATTGCTTGTTATATGAATGCAAGTTTACATTGGAATGGCTTTACAAACAATTTATATGAAAATTAAATGTAAGAATTTACGGAAAAAAATGAATTTACAAACAATATACAAAATAATTTTGCTCGAGTTTTATGAATGAGGCAAGTTCTTTCCTCACTGTGTTCAACAGAAATCATTCATGATGTTCATTTGTTGTCGGTGGGATTAATATACAGCATATCATTTTTAATACATAACAGAGGTTTGCATGTCGTGGGTGACTTTGGATCATAGCAGTATTATTTGGCCACCATATTCTATTCTCCTGTCGTGTTAGATTGACTTTTAAAGAAATTGAATTGAACAGCATATAGCGTGACAATGTGTTGTTTGCAGTTTATGACTGTTATTTGCATACAGTGTCCAAAGGCGAATATTTGTTTAAGAAATTACCCAAGTACACATTAAGACACATAGTCAAAAGCATATTTACATTTATAGTTAGTTCAAGAAAATTTGCACTTGAAAATTAAATTTGCTAATATGATTATGAGATTAGAATGCATTTACAAACAATTTGAAATCGAATGTCACATTTTAGTTTAGAATTTATCAATTTTTTTGCTATTCATATAAATTTGAGCTTGCGTAAGAATGGATTTGCAAACAATTTACATGAAAATTGCTTGGTCATATGAATGTGATGGTTTATATAAGAATGGAGTTACAAACAATTTATTCTAAAATAGCTTTTCATCATATTCATAACCGTTTACGTAAGAATGGATTTATGAACAATTTACATGAAAATTGCTTGTCATGTGAATGTATTTTTGCAATAATTTTTTTTCCGAAAGATTCACACAAATTTTGCTTGAGTTTCATGAAACACAGATGTGCCGATTCTGTCAGAGAAACACCACCCATCATCATTGGTCTATCCTTGGCTTCTATCATTGGAAATAATGTATGAAAATGTAAATTCAGAAATAATCTCATTCCTTTTTTGAAACATGCCTCACTACTTTGCTCATTCAGGCTTCATGTGAAAATGGAATATTTCTGAAAGTGCCGCAATGCTTTGAGGTTTGGTTGTGTGGAAAGTGTAATTACATCTCCCCAGGCCCAGATGACTCGAGTTTGTCTATATTACATGTGCGAATGAATGGGAATTAGAGGAACGAGTTTCGTATCCACCAACATTGTCACTGACCGCCGTTTTACCACCATTATCGTTGAACTCCTTAACTGGTTCTACCGTCTTGTCTTATAATTTGGTTATTTTGTTAAAATTAGAGATAAATCAGATAAAAATTCTGGTTCTGCATATCAGTTATGGGACACTCAAAATTCGTCATAAACATCAGTCGTTTGCTTGTCTAAACTGAACATGGGACTCACAGTAGAGACATGGTGTTAGAAGAAGCAAGAGGCATGTTTCATACATATTAATGAATTTCCATATTTGCAAGAGGCCGTTAAGCGAGGAAAGCAGGCTTTAGTTAAATCTTCTCTCTAGTTGCATCTTAAAAATGTTTCACATCAAGGCTGGTTCTGCTTATCTCAGCGTGTGTCTGTTGTTGTTTATGCGCGTGCATATCTCCGCACGTATATGAACTACATGTGGGCCGACCTTGACTGCTCCATGAAGTTTTCCCTCCGCCGTCCCACGAGACTCATCTGAAGATGCACTGCTTGTCATTCACACGGCTTTGTCTGTGGCACATCGATACACCGGGGAGCTCATCGGGCAGCCCAGACATGCGGTCCTTGACAGTATTGATTGAATGTAAAAGATATAATTTCTGTTCACAGTCCACAGAGTATTGTGGGGTGTGTAAATGCTAGTTGTCCAGTGGAAGGAAAATAGTCTCTTTTTTTTCTTGTATTCTGCCAAAGGAACAATGGGGAAAGATTATGCTATTTGGTGTGTGGTGTGTGTGTGTGGGTGGTGTGTGTGTGTTTTAGACCACATCTGCTCAGTGTATTACTCAGGTCTGTAGATGTGAGGTTATTTCACAATGCTGCCCTGAAGCTTTAAGTCTCACATAACCATCACAAAGAGGAAAATAAGCAATACTTACATAAATACTTGTGTCCTGACTCCTGACACATATGATTTTAAAATCATGGCTTTAGGAACCAAGTGATCTTAACTGAAAAATTTTATGTAGATAATAATTATATTTGCCAAGGTTTGATGATTCATAAAAGGTACAACAGAAAGAACCGGGAACGGCAAAATGGAGCTGGATTTATATATAATAGTCTTTCACATAGCCATACATATCTCAGTGGTTTCTGATTGGTTACTAGATGGTTGCTTCCTGGGCCAAGTCAAAAAAGCAAAACCCAAGTTAAGGTCCCTAAGGTTCAATTAAGGTTCAATGCAAGTCATTGGAGCTTTTCCCCATATTTATAATAATAAAATTAATTAAGGTAAAAGTTTAGTTTAGAGTCCAATTCTCACCATTAACTAGTTGCGTATTAGCATGCATATCAGGATATTGGCTGTTTAGTACTTATAAAGCACATATTAATGCCTTATACTACATGACCATATTCTACATCCTTAATCCCAATACCTAAACCTAACAACTACCTTACTAACTATTAATAAGCTGTAATTACTAGTTAAGCTGTAGTTAACAGTTCGATAATAGTGAGAATTGGACCCTAAACTAAAGTGTGACCATAATGAATTGTATAACAAAGTGAATATTATGTTTTATTGTTGTTGTTTAATAATTGAACACTTATTGTTTTTGCAAATCAATTATTGGACCCTTAAATTCAGCATGAAACAGAAGTTGCGCTAGTCTTTTGACGTATAAGTGAAACGGCTTCTCGAACAAGAAAAAATAAAGGGCGGGACTTAATTTTTCCATCAGGAATTGATTGAATGGTTGTTGTTTGCTGTTGTCCCGTCCTTGCGCCAGAAAACGCGTCATCCGAGAAGAATTGTCAATTGTGATTTCATGGTGAACTTTAAACACCAAAATAGTCAGCTGCATTGGTCATAAAATGACAAATCATTTTAACACTCTTAGGGCCAGATATATTAACAGCTTGCGCCAGCGCAAACCCTGGCGTTAAAAAACAACTGTCAGGATTTGGACATTTTTGCGGCTGACCTTATTATGGGTTTGTGGGAGTTTCCCTTTCAGACGCAAAATTTATGGGAGGAGAGTATTGAAATTAATCACGCAAGGTGTTTTACTAAGGTTTGGGCTAGTCAATTTAATGGTATGTGTGCCATTATTTACCACCCAAAACAAGCGTGTCTTAAACCAGACGCTAATTTGCGCAGCTCTTGGTAGATTGCGTTGGTCATTATAGAAATGATCCGGCTGCATCTGTGTTTTTTAAATTGCGCACGGAACCCATCTTTTATGGGATTGCGCTCACGCTAGTTTGCCCTGTTTAGTAAATCTGACCCTGAATGTTTACACTTCTGTTTATTAAATCTAATGTTTTTCAGACTTGGAGAAAGACCACCCTAAGAATGAAGCAGGCGTGGTGTGGAGAGTGACCGGCGGGCTGTTCAACTTCACCAAAGGAGCGGTGGGTGCCACCCTTGGGGGGGTGGCCTGGGTAGGCAGCAAGAGCTTCCAGCTGACCAAGACGGCTGTGACGAGTGTTCCTGCAGCTGGAGTGGGATTGGTCAAAGGCGGTGTCTCCGTGGTAACGGGAGGGGTCGGGGCAGTGGGGTCTGCAGTGGCCGGTAAAGTTACACCAAAGAAAAAAGACAAGTCAGATTAGACTGGCTGACTCGCTCCCAGCCTTTGTTCGATTCGGTGTGTCTGTGGATGTCTGGGTGGTGTGTTCTCACTTTCATGGGGGTTGGAAAACAGGTGGCTGGTTCATTTAGCCCATGGGAAAATTACTGTTTCGCATTCACCAAATACAATCCTACCTGAGTTAACATAAAGAACTGCAATACGCTATATAAACACACTTCGACCAACATGAGAAAGCTACAAGGGACATGAGATAATTGGTATCTTATGCCTTTTGTTTGCTAATTTGTTTGTGTATTTGTGTATTTTGACTATTGGCGGAAATGTTGGTCGGTATTATTAATGCTGGGAAGACTCGCTTCGGGATCAAATGGTAATATCATAACATATTCTTTAACAACTTAAGGAAACTGGCTCCATCATAAAGGAAACTCTAATATGCCAGCAGTTTTACATAAAATGAAAACTTGGTGTAAAAAAATTTTTTTTGTAATGTACACATAATTAGCCCTAATGAGGTATTTCTCTCTAAAACATCCCTTAAAAAGTGCAAGCACACATTGCAGAATTATTCCTTGAATATGCTGGTCTTGTTTCAAGCCCATCTTTGAACAAAATAATCTGAGAACTTGGAAGTCAGTGAAAGTATTATTTAATTAAATCAATAAATGTGACACTAAATGACCCTGATCATCCAATAATGTGGGGTTTAGACGACATACTCTCAAATGTTCTTCGATTTAGTGTCAGAAATCGTGTCTTTTCTTTGAGACCGATTTCAGAGTCTGCTGTTTTCACCAGTGAGCTGTTTTATTATCATCACGTTCTCATTTACGTCAGTCCTGGTAAGTGTAGAGATCCTCTGAACGGCAGTTCGCACATCATTGACATAGATTACATTAATGGCGAGTCTCCAGTGTAAACACTCCATTTTGTAAGACGATGTTCAAGCCGTTGAAATTGAATCTGTCTCCAGGAAACCAGTGCCTGGAGTTAAGAAAAGAAATGATTCGCATCTAAAAAGGATGCAGGGAAACAGAAACTACACCACATTGTCTTCAGTCCATTTAAAAAGGCTCTTTAGCAAGTCCGCTTCGTTTTCTCTTTGCGAAGCATCACTTGTGGTTTGCTTGAGATGATGTTTTAATGGCTGTACATGTGCCTAAATGTCTTGGGAGTTCTAAAAGCTCACTGTGGAGTGTTTAGTGTTGCAGAACAGTGCAAAATAACCACATATGTATTTCCAGTGACCGTTTTACAGCCGTTTACATCATAGAACTAGCACAATTGAAAATGTGCAAATTGAGTATTTGTTCATGTTTCTGTCTTTTTTCTCTCCCCTATTGCTTAAACGTTTGTCTCCTTTTTTATTTATGTAAAAACAACATATGGCATATTATTATTATATTGCTGCAATGCATGCTTGAAGCTCTAGTTCTTTGTACAACATGCTGTTAATTGTGAGTATGTATTTCACTTTTTTTCATGTTTCTTTCCGTTTTTGCTATCTACACACTTTGTTAGGTACCCATGTCTTGAAGATGCTGTTACTATAAACTGGACTTTTAAGACCAAGTAGATTTTGTCTATAATAGAACTATTTTTGCTAAATTGATGCTGTATTCTACAAATAAAGCATTCTGTATTTTAGAAATGCATGAGTTCTTTGTTTTTTGTTGTTGTTGCTACTGCTGTTGTTTTTTATTTGATGCATTTCACTTATTTACCATCAAAAGAAAATGAGCAAAGAGAAGAATTACTATCCTGCAATGAATCCCCTGCTGGAATAGGTGGAGATATTTTAATACCATTGATCTATTATTCATTTTAGCTTTAATCATTTATGTAACACTGAATGCACTGATATGCACTGACAGTCCAGATCTGGATTATTACATGACCCCATAATTCAAATCACATGATAAAATCCCTGTTTTATTAAGGCTGAGAGGTAAACTTTTATACGGCATCCACTTGTATTCATAAGATGATAGGGTTTTTCATCATAAAATGGGTTACATGTTTTGTTTCTATCAGAAAGGAAACAATAATAGCATCTTTAGATTAGATGTCAGGTGTCCGGTATAGGCAGAACCAGGTGCTCATAAACATTTTCATGGCATACTGAATCAGCACAAAAATTTATTGAGCCAGTCAGGGGTTTTATCTTCAAAAACAATTGCATGGCTCAACAACATCATTGTTCCACAATATTAACCAAGGACATTAGTGATTTTAGTATCAAGTAGTAAATGCACCATAAAAGGGAAAGTTGTTTTGTGGCTTTTTAACCTCACACCGTGTCGTAACCAGGCGAAACGCAATTAAGCGATTTAAAAACTTGCTGTGAAGGACGAAAGCCAATCGTTTTTGTCCTAACCCACAGCCACTGCCGTCTGGTTTTTGGGCCCCTTGTACTGTATATTGCTTTGGGCCCCCCTGCCCACACCACTGCTGGACACTCGTAAGGGGCCAGACACACTACACTCTTCATTCCATTGCCTTCCATTCATACTCATGCAAATGCAGAAGACAGGAAATTCAAGCTCATGCGAATTCGCCACATTCCAAAATGTACGTTTGGTGAACTCTGCCCTGCACATTTGTGTCACATGTGACATGTGACAATTAAAAGATTGATACATCACGACATGACCTCTTAGCTGAATTAAAAGAACGCAAACTTTAAAAAAGTGAAAGTGACATGACGAGAAGGCCAAGTATGGTAACCCATACTCTGAATTTGTCCTCTGCATTTAACCCATCCGAGTTAGTGCACAAGTCTGCAGGATTGCAGTAAAGTTGAGTAGACTGATATATTTTTTTACATTTTGGATGTATTATATGCTGAGTGTTTTTAAAAAAGACATTGCAGAGTTTGACGTCATGTATAGCTTACGACCATTGCCTTGTTCGTAAAAAAATTCCATGCTCAAAGTGGCCAATTAGGCTATTTATTGTTTTGTTTTTGTCAATCACTTTATCTAGATTATCCCTGTTTGTTGTATCTTGCTTGAAAATGTATTCTATTGTCTTGCTTCACTTCAAGTTTCTTATCCTGTTCTTTTAAGTGATCTTTATGATATATGTATCCCCTGTAATCTTTGTGTTCAATAAAAACAAACAAAAACTTCTCTGCTAACCAGCTGATGATCTAAATCAGGTGTGTTAAAGGGATAGTTCACCCAAAAACTAATTAATTAATTACTCACCCTCATGTCGTTCCAAACCCGTATGACTTTCGTTCATCGTTGGAACACAAATTAAGATCTTTTTGATGAAATCTGAGAGCTTTCTGTCCCTCCATTGACAGCTATACGCAACTACCACCTTGACACTTCAAAAAGTTTATAAAGAGATCGTAAAACTAATCCATATGAATTGTTTAGAGTGGTTTAGTCCAAATTTTCTAAAGAGACTTGGTCGCTTTAAACAGGACAAAAACAGAATGCTCAACCGAAAATGCTTGATGTGTTGAGAACAAACCACATTGGTTCTTGTAGAAGCTCAAACGTGCTGCGTAACACGAGAATTAACCTCATTGGTTCTTGTAGAAGCTCAAACGTGCTACGTAACACGAGGGTGAACCTCATTGGTTCTCACACAAGCGAACATGCTTCCGTTTACCACAACTGATGTGTGAGATGTTTACATGAATAAAAGCCTAAATTCAATCTTTTCATCATATAAAGCGATTGAAATTTGGAATAAACCGCTCAATTCATATGGATTAGTTTTACGATCTCTTTTATGAACTTTTTTAAGCGTCAAAGTGATAGTTGCATAGCTGTCTATGGAGGGACAGAAAGCTCTGAGATTTCATCAAATAGATCTTAATTTGTGTTCTGAAGATGAACGAAAGTCTTACAGGTTTGGAAGTTGAACTGCATGTGTGAGAGGAATTGATGACAGAATTTTAATTTTTGGGTGAACTATCCCTTTAAATAAAGACGACATATACAAATGTGGAGTGCTCCCCAAGTCCCCAGGACCAGGATTCAAACTACTTTCCTAACCAGCCATGACCGCAAAAAATTACGATGGATTTAATAGCCTATGTTATGACTTAAAAAAAAAGACAAAAAAAGCACGCTGGATAAAAAATAATTGATTCACAGAAATGAGCTAGACTTGTATCCAGCAAACACAAAACGGTTGACCAACGTGTTATTTTAAAAGATGTCCTAGAAATCACACCTAAAATAAAAAATAAAAATGTGGGGGAAAAAAATCAATAGAGCATATATTACAACGAAAACAAATGACAAACAGTTGTAAATCTATGGCAAAGAGACTTGTCCACAATTGCCAAACATTTTGCTTAAATAATTAGTTAATTCCTATCATTTCAATTTTGTGAATGAAAACTGAATGGGTGCACGAGCACGAGTCATACATTTCTCACTCGTGAGAAGAAGAAGAAAAAAAAAAACTTAAAAACTGACGAGCGCGCGCAGAGTTTCTGAGGTAGGCCAAGACCTTTTTTCCTCATGATATCAATAGCTTATAAAAGTTTGAAAATAACATCTGAAAGTATTTTCAGGGAAGGCGCACAAACCTGCGCACATATATTCAACCGCACGTAAATAGAATCAATTTTTAATGCGCATGTGAACGCCATGGTTCGCGTTTAAAGTCTGTTTAGCGGACCCTAATTTATTTAACAAATAATCATTTCGACGGAAGTGAATCAATCAAAACTAACTTTAGCTGGAAAATAACATTATTCAAGAACCGCTATAAAACCAAACCAATCTCCGTTACCTTAAATAGTTTACTGTAAAGCTGCTTTGAAACAATCTTAAAAGCGCTATATAAAATGAGGATGAAGGCGTGAAAGAGTAGCCACTCTCCGGCTATTCAGACAAATGAATCAGCCTAGACGTAATTTGAATTCAGAACTGTGAATTATTATGAAGATAAGCAGTGGAATCTAATGGTGCGTTCACGTGCTATGGAAAATATGATATTTTCCACTTGTGAACTGGTATTTACCAGTGTGTTGCGTTCAAGTGCTTTTGTTGTCGTAATGTGGTAAAAAGATGGAGATCCAGACCTGTTATTTAGCTAAAACTATTTTAGATTGCTTAAGTCATCTGCTACAGCAAGAAAATGATTTATCAAAACTCAAACGTAAATAACATATGCTGTATATTTTCTAGATCATGAATAGTACATATTTTTACCATTCACAACTCTTGCGTTGCTCTCCGCCATTTTGAAAAGGTCAAAGGTAATCTCATCTCGGCAACTCGTGCATCAAAATATTCTACGAGTTGCCCAGTGGAAAATACCACATGAGGGGGTGTTCATGTGCATTTTCCATGTCGGCTTTTGGTATTTACCATAATTACCATAGCACGTGAACGCACCATAATAACTCTACCCCTCTCTTATTGTCTCATTTATAAGACCGCTTATTACCGGTAAAGTGGACGCAGTGGACCCATATGTTCCTAAAAAGTAGGTTAGGCCTACGTGTAGCATAGTAGGCTTACTAGGCTACCTAACGTTACCTGATCTCTGGCGAGCTAGACAGTAAGTTACCGCTCAGTAAAATCATATTGGTCTGGTTTCTGATCAATTAAATGATCTTTTATTTATCATCATTGAACCAAAACAAATGAATATAAACAACAACAAAAAAATGAATACAGTTAAATAAATTAATACTGTCAAGAAATAAATAATAGCATTAGCCTATATAAGCTATCTTACAATTAAAATAGCAGGCTGTTTTAAAATAACATATTTCTTGCATCACAATAAATATTCTTTATTTAATAAAAAATAATTTAAAATAAATTGAATCGAATCTAAAATATATTAATTAAATTCATTTATAATAAACTCTATATTAAATAGTGGACTGTTCGGAATCGGATAGATATTTCCAAACTATATAATGCAAGTAAATACTGCCATTAAAGGTCAAATAACTCTCTGGTGCAGTGCATACGACAGCTATAGAAAAGCAATTACTTTGATTCTATATACAATGTTTGCATCCTGGAGTCTCTTTATCGCAATAAGAGATTTCAATGGTTTTCTTAATCACAATAAGTGTTTTAAATGAACGACAGCTAAGACGATCTCAAGCAGGTTGAGATCTTCAGTGAGGAGCATGATAAATTGTTATCTGAACAGCGCTTTAAGTTCAACAAAGCAAAACTCGGCATCTGCTGCTGTTCATGTATATAATCTCAGAACAGCAGAAACTGCTTCTTGACATTTGGGGGCAGGAGACCTCTGTTGTGGGCTGGAGTTCGTACCATTGGACGTCTCTGGGGCCTTTTTTTTTGTCTCTCCCATTCTTTCACAGATTCGCACTCTTCACTGTATGGGTTGAGAAAAAATAGCTTCCTCAGCATTTAAGTGGGTAATTTACACAATAATATCTGCTTGTAAGTGGCACTAACACCTTTTTTTAACTTTAGTTTCTAGCTGGCATTTTTTAGCTGATCTGTCCACTGGTGCTGCCAAATTATTGGGGGCTTTTTTGGCAAAGGATAATGCGAGATGGCTCAGAAAGCCAATTACTTGTGCACTTTTGGGATGATGGGAAAAAAAAGTTAAAAGTTCATCAAACAAATGGCTTTAATGTGGATAGAAAACTGTGATACATACAAACCTCAGGTCACAAAATAAGCCACCTGCCAAGAAAGTGTGTGTATGTGTAAGTGCCTTAAATTCTCACATTTTACTAAATTACAAATGCCACACTGAAACTATTTTTATGGGGCTTTTTTATTTTTATTGACAGGGATGATTGGAAATGATTAGGGGAAAATGGGACTGGCAAATGACAAACCAGATTGGAACTCATAGCTACAAGGTTGTGGCTTCAACTTAATGTGAATAGCTATTATGGCTATATTTCTGCCATTACCTCAGTCTGCAGTAATTATCCAAACTAAACTGTGCAGCATAGCTAAGCTTATGCATAGAATTTCCATGACATTATTTAAAGCTTGCATAATTGATAATCGCCTATACTGTTAGGGTTCATTCTTTTCAACTGCTTTGTAAACATTAAGGCTGATTAACTGGTGTTTCCTCCATCTCAAGTTACAACTTTAGTGCACAATCCTTAGTTCTTGAAGTAGCTCTACTTGAATATATAGACATAGTACTTTAAACACAGAAGCTTTGTTATTTGAGTTTATATGCACATCACCTCACCTCACTCACGGTTATGTATTGCACTTGTATATGCTGTATTGTCCTGCAATGTCCTGTGTTTACTGTAGTCTTCATCAGTCTTACAGCAGCAGAGAAACACAATTTCGAATGACAAAAGTGGCTTGACTTGACAACGCAGCCCAATTAGACATGATTAGCTATTTTTTCAGACCACAAGGGGGGGCCATTTCTTCTGGATGTCTTGAAAGATCAAACAAGGAAAGACTAAACAATGGTAGCTTGTATGACATTCATTTCTATGGTACATGACTGTGAAGCACGTATATCTGATGACAATCTCGTGGAATGAAAGAGAATTCGTCATCGCACACTCTTCACGCTCTCTAATGCTGCTGACACAAATCTAAAATCGAAGATTGACCATTAATATTCCCCATTTAAAACTGAACAAGGGTTAGCAATCGAGACAATCATGAGATTAATATATCTGGTTTAATAACCTGAACGTGCATCCAGATTATGTAAAATCCACGAAGGATTAAAACAAATTAAGGCCATTGTGATAACCAAGCAAGAGTCGTGTACACAACTGTCCTTTAAGCTGTGCAACAACAAAAAAGTGGTTTCGCCAGTGATTACGTCTTATTTATGCTTTTCTACATTTATTAAGATTTCCAAAATAGAAAAAGTCTCTTTCACATACAATGAGCCAAACATTTTTTTTTTTTCATGGACACTAAATACAAATCTATATATGCACTGAATCAATGAAAATTAGTGGTATGATGATGAGGACAGCCACTAAAGAATGAATCATTTCATGCATTTCATATGAAAATCTCTAAATTACATTAAACTACCAAACTGTCCACTCTAAAAACATGGATTGCGTTGGATTTTTCTGAAGTAGCATCATGGCATTTAGCAAAATATAACAAAAACCTTATATCATTGTGATGCAACAGCAATAATTGATTTTTACAATGTGTTTGTAAATCATGATGACCACCTAAAGCAAGCAGACTGAAGTGCATTATTTTACTTTAGATTCTTTTCTTTTTACCTGGATGCAGCACCAATGCATAAAGCAAACCAAAATAAACCCCCAAAACTCTGTGGCAGACAAGACTTTACACTGAGACACACCTGAGAAATAGCCTGACTGTGACATTCACAATTTTATTGCACGGCTGTTATCATACATGACAGCATTTCAGTCCCACATTAAAGAATGTTTTTCTTGTGAATAGTCTGGGTTCTATGACATACAAAATATTCACATTCACTGTTGTCAAAGCAATGGCCAGCATACAGAATTTCTTTATCAGTAGTGTGGTGCTCTGCTCTAATATATAAATAATGAACATTGCTATCTCAATGCGATCAAGGTGAAGTTCAGATCTCTTTACAGCTAAAGTGTTTTGGTTCTTGTGCTGTTCAGAACATCATAGGGTGACTGCGAGGGAGTCTCCGAAGTAAAAAAAAAGTTCATAGTGCAAATGTCAATCACATTAAGGCAAGAATATAAATGTAGAAAAATAGTTGTGCGTGCACGTTTACCTTTGTTACAAAAAAGGTATGAAGGTTTTGTCCTCGATGAGAGAGAGCGACATGTTTTTCAGCTCCTCGGGGGAGTTGACAGCTTTGTAGCCGAGCTCATCTAAAATGTGCTGACAAACAGTTTGTGTGTAATCAACTATGTCATGAGACAATTTCAACCTCCAGCTCTCTGCGTTGGCCGCCGAATCCCTCAACGTGCCGTACTTATGCTTTGCTGACACATCGTTATTGCCTCTTGTGTTGTTATGTATCCAGTCCACCACGCTTTTTTCCAAAGAAAGACCAAGGAATTCGTAAACCTCCTTGGTTTTTTGGAGCGGATTCCTGGCTAGGTCCTCGTATCTCACTAGCATGTACCGTCCTCGAAGCCACGGCGGCCGGCTTAAGCCCGTGGACACTGAGTTTAGAAAGTCGTCACACACTGTTGTTAGCTGAGTCAAATCCAGGTTGTAGGGTTTACGGCCGGTGGCTCTCCAAATCCGCCATAGGCGGTATGTGTCCCGAAAGGTTTCAATCCTCGAAGATAATATTCCACGCGGGTCCCTCACCAGCTGGATAACTTTCAGATTAAGCCGAGGGTCCTCAATCAGTGCCTTAAGATCATTGACCTCTGGAATACGCACTGTTTTAATGGCCACGTGGCGTCTTTCCCGACATGATTCGGTTGCTAGGGTCAAGTTAAGGGAGGCACACTTTCGAACACAATCCCCCTCTTCTATATTGCCATCGTTAGGGCTGAAGGCATCACAGACCGGCATAGAGCAGAGGGCTTTGCTGGCTCCTCGGCGAAAGAGTTTATCCGTGGTATGGTTTGCCGGCTGCGGTTTGATGTAACTCTCTAAGAAATACAAGTCGCAGTTGTACAAGCTTCTAAGAAGGTCACGACTGGCTCCCAGCATCACTCTGCGCTCAACAGCATATCTGCTGGGAGAAAGGTGAGGGATTAAGGTCGTTTGGACATGATAGAGTGGCTCAAAAAGATAGAACACATCTGAGTGCTGGTTGAACAACTGTCCAACGAAAGAGGAGCCGCTACGGGTGGTTGCCAAGATGAGGATGTGAGTCTTCCTGGAGGAATTGTAATTAAAATACGGGTACTCATCACACATCCGATCGAAGGACTCCACATCCTGTCCCAAACCACAGTTCAGAGGGTTAGGAACAGGGCACAAATGAAAAGGCTTAGCTGTGAAAGTCCTGATTGCTGTGTATTGGATCGCTATGGACACCAATGCAAGCAGAATCACAGCCTTCCAGGAACATTGCATGGCTGGGTAACTTCATTTAGATGATGCAGTCCGATTTGATCCTATCGACAAAGGTGCAGCTGGGGGAAAAAAAAGATATCTCGGTGAGTTCAAAATCAGAAAGTAAGGCATAAAGATGTATAACATTTAATTTAAACATCTAACCAGGTCTGAAATAACAAAGAAATTTTATCTATGAACATTTAACTTCAGAAATGATGATTCATAAGTCAATATTCAAAAGCAAAAAACTACCGTACTTTAAATATAGATGGGAAATCTAAACTTCAGAGGCTCCTTGAAAGCCTTAATTTCAAGCAGTCAAAGACAAATGTGCCTTCAAAATATATTATATTACATTCTTCACTGTGCTTCACAATGCAAGCCTTAAGCAGTCGTGTATTGCAATATGACACTTTGATCAAGTACTTCATGTTTTAATGCAGCCAAACTCCTACAACTAAACTGCTTCCTACAGGCTTTTACACAAGCCGGAGGTATTTTGTTTTTCCCTTGGGGAAATCAGCAAACCAGCATCTAGAATGCAGGCAGGTTACAAAATCAGAAACTGGCACCAGTTCAGGCACCTGTAGAGAGTAATTGCAATACCTCACAATGCCATATGCATGCTTATTATGATAGGTTTGAAAGGCAGCCGTCGACGACCGCGCGCGTCGAGTTCTGATTTACCGCAGTGCAACACAACTTGCTATTCAGTTGGAAATAAAAAAAAAATAGCAGATCCGATCTGTCTGTCGACTATATAAAACGGAGACCAACTTATCCCCTATTCCAGCGCGAACATTTCAGATTTCCAACTAGGCTCGAAATATCGTGAAATAAATACTTCGATATACTTGCCTCATATAAAGCTGTATGAGAACATGACGAAAATTTAAACAAAAGAAAAAAATCACCATATGCCGCGATGGCTTTGCGTAGTCGTCCCGTGACGCCCGTCATAGACGTTTTTATCGCTTTAATTCACGTATTCAGATGTCGAGGGGTTCCTTATTCCCTAAAAACCGATGAAAAGGTCGTATATCCTCAAGCAGCTCCATTCATGCACTGGATAAAACATTCAAAGACGGGCTCCGTGGAGAGACAACGGATGAATAAGGTATTGATGCGCATCCTCAGACATCTCTCTGTGACTAAACGCGAAACACCGGACGGATATTTCGCTCGTTCGTCGTGAGGAGAAGACTGAAGAGAGGTGTGCCAGTCGGTCCCAGATTAAGTAAAACGTAGACAGCCCCATGCGAATATTCACCCCCACAAAACCACAGTTGACAAAGGCTGAGGAGAAAAAAACAGCACGGGGGGAGGCAGATTTGGTTCACTATTCGCGTCCTCCCTCAGAACATGTCTGTGCTCGACGCTAAAGCCTTTGAACATGGAGTTAGTTTGGATGAGGTGAACTGGTGGCATCTAGAAATTTCATTCTTTTTTCTCGGTCTTTCTCAGTCGCTATATAGCCTATATTTAGGCCCTATATTTAGAAAGCGAAATTATTCGTAGCTATTCAAATTTATTGAGTTTATTATTTTGATTAATGTCTTTTATTAACTTATTTTATTATTTTCTCCTTGCTATTAATCTTTTCGTTATGAATTATAGATCCTTTTTATGCCTTATTTCATGATTTTCCCTGTGCTATTGATTTCTTTGAGCGTGTTCAGAGTTCATTGCATAATGTAGCCTACCATGTCCATGTTATCAAAGTGCATCTGTTTTCATCTCTGCAGACATGAGATAGTAATGCAAGATCTGCTATATTACAAGAATGTGTGACCTAATCAGATCTCCATCCTTAAATGGCTGCAAAAGAAGTACCGGTACCAAGAATATGAATATATTAACATATTTATTTACATATTTAAGTCTAACAAAAAATAACATGTCAATGTGCATGTGAGTGTGTGTCTATGTGTGTATATTCTTAATCAGAGTCATAGTGCTGACAGATGAATGATGCTGGTAACCCTGGAGTGCAGGCTCGATGGGCCCAGAAACTGCATAGGGCGCAATTCACCCAAACCTTCTTTGGCTTTGAGTTGTTAAATGGCTTCATGCAAACCACTTTATTTAAAACACTGGCAGAGACACCTCTGTCAGTCTTTCTTTTCCATGCCCTATTCATTCTTTAAAAACATTAAAATCAAGAAAGTTCTTAGTTATATTCTTAGTATGTAAGGGGATGGTTGTAACACTTTTTAAATAAGTGTTACAACCCACCCCACCCCTGTCAGCCAATGTTTAGCTAGCTGTATTTTTAGCATAGTGGTTTGAAATTAGCATGGGGAAAATGCATCACATATTGCCTAAGAAACTACTAATTAATCTAATAAAAGTCATACAATTTTATCTGCAATAGTACAGATACTAAACAAAATATAGTCTTGGTCAAAATATGTACTTTTTGAACTCAAGATAAATTTTTTTCTCTATATATTCTGCATGTCCCTGTTTCCAGCTTTGACAATTACCATGCTGGATCGGGGAGGAAGCAGGATAATACTGAAGTGATCACATGACTCCTATCTTATCCGTAATTGGTGGAATCTCCCCATGTTACAACCATCCCCGGTCTCCCCCTCTGATCTTCACAATATTCATATTACAATATTACATGCTGAAACTCTTGCTCTTCTGCTGTAGCTTTAAGATTTAATTTTGTGTGTCATTAATAGCAAATCTGCTGCAAGTTTGAGTGTATGGGAACATGGGAACTCAATTGAGTTGTGAAGTCATTTAATTTATGATCACGTGATATGATGTTTTCATTTTTTCTGTATATTGAAATTTCCGAATTTTGTCCAATCCCTGACTTCAAAAGACTTAGAATATAATGCACTTAATCTAGGTGAACTATTCCTTTAAACTTCATAGGCAATCATAATTGCCATTGTTTGGCACTTTCATTTTGATTTTAGCTGCAGGATACAATTAACAAAGTGCAATGGATGATCATTTCATGTCTACATACAATCTAAAACTTGAGTTCATTTGGACCACAAATCTGCACTTCCTTTCATCTGCTCTGTTTTTCCCTTTTTATCCTTTCACCTGAAGCCAGACATTGGGCTTTCCCCCCAGTTCAGTGTCTTGCAATCTCAGAAGCTGCCAAATGTGAGATTTGGTTGGCTTTTTGCAAAATCAGTTTTTATCTTTGTGTGCTCAATGCAACCCCAATTTCAATCAGTGTGTGTACTCAACCATTTGAAAACGTCGCCTGCATATCGGCGACGGCAGTACTGGGGTGAAGATGGGTGTGTGTCCGCTTTATCCACCCTGCTGAGAGCTGGTAATAAGCTTTCAAACGCAAATGATCCTCCCCGCTCTGTCCACCGAACACTGCACTGCATCAACGATTCGGCAGTTATTTTCTAGTGCTCTGAATTTACGGATCCTCCATGACAACCGTGTCCAGAGAAATGAGGAAACCCAAAGCATGAAACGTGATTTCAATATGCGATTGTACTGTGCAAGAGGCAGAAGAAGCGAAACCAGAATAGACTTACGACAAACTCTGAAAGACCTCTTAGACTCTGGCTTGGTTTAATGGACTAGCAGGAAGGCCCAGAATTAAATGTTTTATTTGTTCATCATTTCTTTTCACATTCTACACTTTTAAAAATAAAGGCTCCAAAAGGGATTTTTTTGCAATGATGCCACTTTGGGCTCCATCTTTCAGTTAACAGATCTTAAAGGAACTACCGGTATTAAGCTCTCAAGGTTAGCTAATCGTGAAAAGTGTTTATCAGCATTATATGGAAGCTTGTTTCCGCCACAGAATGAAAAATAAAAAGGTAATTGCGACTTTTTATCTCACAATTCTGACTTTTTTTCTCACAATTGCGAGTTTACATCTCGCAATTCTGACTTTATTTCTCAGAATTGCGAGATATAAAGTCAGAATTGCGTGATATAAAATCGCAATTGCGTGTTATAAAGTCAGAATTGCCAGATATAAAGTCAAAATTTATTGATATAAAGTCGCAATTGCAGGTTATAAAGTCAGAATTGCGAGATATAAAGTCAGAATTGATTGATATAAAGTCGCAATTGCGCGTTATAAAGTCAAAATTGCGTGAAATAAAGTCGCAATTGCGTGTTATAAAGTCAGAATTGCGAGATATAAAGTCAGAATTGATTGATATAAAGTCGCAATTGCGTGTTATAAAGTCAGAATTGCGTGAAATAAAGTCGCAATTGCGTGTTATAAAGTCAGAATTGATTGATATAAAGTCTCAATTGCGTGTTATAAAGTCAGAATTGCGTGATATAAAGTCGACATTGCGTGTTATAAAGTCAGAATTGTGAGATATAAACTCGCAATTGCGTGTTATAAAGTCAGAATTGATTGATATAAAGTCTCAATTGCGTGTTATAAAGTCAGAATTGATTGATATAAAGTCGCAATTGCGTGTTATAAAGTCAGAATTGCGTGAAATAAAGTCGCAATTGCGTGTTATAAAGTCAGAATTGATTGATATAAAGTCTCAATTGCGTGTTATAAAGTCAGAATTGCGTGATATAAAGTCAGAATTGATTGATATAAAGTCGAAATTGCGTGTTATAAAGTCAGAATTGATTGATATAAAGTCGCAATTGCGTGTTATAAAGTCAGAATTGCGTGAAATAAAGTCGCAATTGCGTGTTATAAAGTTAGAATTGATTGATATAAAGTCTCAATTGCGTGTTATAAAGTCAGAATTGCGTGATATAAAGTCAGAATTGATTGATATAAAGTCGAAATTGCGTGTTATAAAGTCAGAATTGTGAGATATAAACTCGCAATTGCGAGTTATCAGGCCAATTCTAAGGGGGGAAAAGACTAACTTTTTCCCCCTTAGAATTGGCCGGATAACTCGCAATTGCGAGTTTATATCTCACAATTCTGAGAAAAGATGTCAGAATTTCAAGATATAAACTCGCAATTATGTGTTATAAAGTCAGAATTGCGAGATGTAAACATGCAATTGTGAGAAAAAAAAGTCAGAATTGTGAGATAAAAAGTCGCAATTATGTCTTTTTTTCTCGCAATTGCAACATTATTTCTCATAATTGCGACTTTATATCTCGCAATTGCGACTTTATTTCTCAGAATTGCGACTTTATATCAGAATTGCGACTTTATATCTTGCAATTGCGACTTTATTTCTCACAATTCTGACTTCATATCTCGCAATTGTGAGATAAAAAGTCGCAATTATTTTTATTTTATTTTTTTATTCAGTGGCGGAAACAAGCTTCCATTGCATTATATTTAGATCTATTGCATTATATTTAGATTTTGGCATGAAAGGTTTCAGTGATGAGCATGAAGCCGATCATAGACATGTTGAGCGCATGAATGCAGTGATCTCGAACTTTGACGCGTTATAATTGATTCACAGTTTAAATAACAGATTATTTTCATCCTACTAAGAGAAACAATGTGAAGTTGACCGTTTAGTCACTGGTTTGATTTACTGACACATAGACAAAGAACAGCTGACAGTACATGACTGTACATATCAGAAATCACTGATCTCAGATCAGGCATTAGAATTAACACGGTTACTTACATGTTGTCGCATTACTGTCGAGTCCATATCGTAAAAGTCTGTTTGTTCAAAGCCTGCGCCGAAATTGTAAAAGTCTGTTTGTTCAAAGCCTGCGCCGAAATTGCGACTGATTTACCAAACAATCCACAGTGAAATGTACAGAGAACAAACAAATAATGCTCAACTGAAACATTCACATTGTTGAAAATAAATAACCACATCCCTAGCATTAGGATCCTTTGGAAAGTAATTTTATTTTTAGTCCAGTGATCCTGTATCGCTCTTCTCTCCACGCCTGTGGGCGGAGCCAAAGTTGCAATGATGAAGTAGGCGTTGATCTTCTACAGAGGCGGTATTTCAGCTATAGGCAATTCCACGAGTCAGAAGAAGCTTTCAGCTCTGAAACTGATATTCTTACTGTATGATGACCTTATATGTCAAAAGCTCAAGGAAATTTTGATTTCTCAGTTCATGACCCCTTTAAGATCTTATGAAGAATAGCAAAATATTATGCTTTCCAGGCAGCCAACATGTTAAATTATTGACCAGTAAAAGCTTGTCAGGCTTTCAGCCAAATTTCCCCAGCTTTATAACCCAAACTTCACCTACACAGGCTTAATGAATATGAGAACTGTCTCTGATGGTTCATGCGTGAGTCAGGAACATTTGGGTCTCTGCTGGTGAAGGTTGTTCCTCTGCCGGATTTGGATCAGTGCCTCCAGACGAGACAGCTGACTTTATTTCGTGTAATTGAAAAGAGTTTGTGTGGGAGAGAAAGGGCTGGAAAACAGTGTGCCGTCAAGTCCAACTCTAATTAAGACAGGAGCTGCCATGGTGCTTTCCATTACACCAAACGGCTCCCTGGATCTGAAAACAGAAGCTGCATATAGCAGATTAGCTGACTTAAGAACAAGCCATTCATGCACGTCAAGCCGTTAGGTGTCTTTGATTTTTGTTTTTGTTTTCATTTTCATTGTTCATTTTCATTGATTTTATTGGACAGGTGTGGAAGTGAATATGACAGTTGTTGAAAATATGTGGAAAGCACTGTGGGTAGTGTTGCATATAATTGTGTTGTTCTCTGGCAAGATTTGCCGCAGAGGGCTCTGTGCTTGAGCATTTGAAAATGTCGGCCTGCATATTATTGGCAAAACAAAAAAGTAGTCATGATTAGCTACTGTATTTTCCCAGACCACAAGGGGGTGTCATTTCTCCTGAATACCCTAAAAGGTCAAGAACAAAAAAATTATTTTCACAGTGTTGTCACATCCAGCAAGTTTGGATAAACAAACTTCTGTGTCTTTGCTTACGTATAGCAAACTCTTGAATTTAGGTGTTTTTCTTGTTCTTTATGGTGCTGTTTACTCTTGTGTGGATTCTATTTTTGTAATTACTTAATAAAACTTGTGCTTACACGCTACACGCTCCCTTTGAAACTATAAAATGTGTTCTTTCATAATTTCAAAATATTCACATTCACTGTTGTCGAAGCCATGACTAACATAGCTGAATATCTTTGTCATAAGTGTAGTGCTCTGTTTATTATTCAAGTGATGAATAGATATCTGTGCCCATGATTGCTTTTATTACAAAAAAACGTAGGAAGGTTTTGTCCTCTCAAGAGAAAGCGATGTTTTTCATCTCCTCAGGGGAGTTGACAGCTTTGTAGGCGAGCTCATCTAAAAATTGCTGACAAAACAGTGTGTGTGTAAGCAACTATGTCATGAGACAATTTCAACGTCCAGCATGCATTGGCTGCTGAGTCCCTTGATGTGCTGTACTTACGCATTTTTGAACACAATCCCTTTCTCCCATATTGCCTTTGCAAAAACTGAAATGCCGTCCCCTGAATTGTAGCATGTCTCCTCCAGGTCTGATGGGGATTGGCAGAAATAAAGGGCCAAGGGTCTGTGTGGCCGTCGATCCAGGTGGTGTTTGTTGCTTATGGTGCTGACCATGTCAAGTCTTCCTCGCTCAAGTCTCGGGACAGGAATATCATCCTCTTCCTACTTGAAGATTTTGGACCCTGTTGGTGGGTGGGAAAAAGTTGGACATTTTTAATGGGCTCTTGTAATATATATTGCCCTTCCTCCAGCACAGTGTGTCGTGGTTTTGCGGTGCACAGAGAGCATTTTAAACAGCCCGAAGCCCTTGACGAGGGAGTAATTGCCCGATCGTGTTTTGATATGTATGTGTGGAGATTTTTGGCAGCAATAAATGACTGCACAATTTTGTAATAGGTCACCGAAAAGTACAGGGTCAAGAGCGCAGTTATGAATAATTCAGAATGTCCTTTTCAAGTCCTGCTATTGTGATGCCTCCGTGTAACATTGTAAACCCCATAAAAAAATCCCAGGCTGAATAAATTCCCTATAAATACTGTATGTCTGGACATTCATTTTGTAAATTCATATGCCTCTTAGGTTTAAAAGCGTCTAGGTTAAAAGTATTTAAAAAAAAGATTTCATTTCGGTCATCACTGAATATGAGATTGAAGTTTAAAACTGAGATTGAATAGTCATTTGCACTTAAACGAGAGACTTAATTACACATCCTAGATGAGTGTAGTTGAAGGCTCATCCCTGTTGCTAATTAACCCCACACAACCATCATGACACCCAGATCACATAAATCATAGCCATTGGAAATATTATTTTTGTACAGACGTGACCTTGATTTTAATCTGTATGACATTTATGGACCGCAAACAGTGATGTATGCCAAGCAAATCTCTTTTAAGTGGGAGCAATCACTTTTTCAGCCCACTGCTCTTGTGCTTTGTTTAATTGAAAGAGAGTCATTACGAAAGCCATATCAGCCCTAATGCTAGTGCCAGGCCAGCAGTCTCAGACCAGTGTTTGGGTGGAGCTAATAGCATCATTAAGGGTAGATTTAGTGGTTGGGTAAGGTTTGGCATTCGTTAAAGGAATAGTTCACCCAAAAATGAAAAGTCTGTCATTATTACTCACCCTCATGTTTTTCCAAACCCGTAAGACCTTCGTTCATCTTCGGAACACAAATGAAGATACTTCTGATTAAATCCGAGAGCTTTCTGAACCCCCATAGACAGCAAGGGGGTCGCACACCGGACGAGAAGCGCCGCGTTGCGTCTAGGACAACTCGAGGTATCGCACATCAGACGCGCACTTTCTCAGTTTATGGCCAGTAATATTGTTATGTTTAAGGACATTATGGAATTAAGATAATGTCTGTATTATGTTATGATTGTACTGTACAATCGTTGCTAGTCTGCAGACTCTGAACACTTCACCTCAGAGTGTCCGTTAACTGAATGAATTGAGAATCTCACCTGAAAATCTGATAACATCAGAAATTTTCATTCAAGCAACTGATTTCTGTAAATGAATGTAAAACTAAATGTATATTGCATGCAGATGCAGCACAGGGTGAAGTCAGACAGTTTTTACATTAACAATGCCGAATGGCGCTGCCGGTGTGTGTACATAGAGAATAATGTGTTCGAATTTTAAAGACGTGGCGCTGCGCTTCTCGTCCGGTGTGCGACCCACTTTACCCTGAAAATTCACCTCAAAAACGCATCGAAACTGCAAACACAAGATTTTTGTGGAACTTCAATGGGGAATAAAGACTAACAAGACAGATAACAACATTGAACCTTACACAAACAGTAATTATTAATTTGCCATAGTGACACAGGAGGTGCCGGATCCAATAAAAAAGGTTCCGGATCCAACGTCGGAGGTCCCGGAACATGTTCCGGCGTGTTCCGGCTCAAATTAAGCCCTGGCTGTAACTGAAAAATTACATTTTGGTGAAAAGTGCAGTCACATTAGTGAAATTTTGTGGGCAAAAATTGTCGATTGTCAATACTAGTGTAGTGATGTATGAAGTACAGCTCAGACAGAAGTCACTTTCAAACTAAACAGCAAATAAATAAATTACATGCTACAGTATGTACATTTGGTATCACTCAGGAAAAAAATGAAATCCGTTCCCCTGAGTTGTAGCATGTCTCCTCCACCTGATGGAACAGTTCTGAAGGGGACCCTTTTGATTGGCAGAAATGAAGGGCCAAGGGTCTGTGTGGGTGTTGATCCAGATGGTATTCTGTTGCTTAGTGCACAGAGCATGTCAAGTCCAGTCTACCTGGAGGACACGCTCAGGGCTCAGGACAGGAATATCATCCTGTTCCTACTCAAAGATTTTGGATCTGTCCTTGGTGTGCAGGATATAGGAGGAGCCGGACATATTTAATGGCCTCTTGTAATACATTCTGCCCTTCTTCCAGCACAGTGTGTTTTTGGGGTGCACAGAGAGCATTTTAAACAGCCCGAAGCCCTTGACGAGGGAGTAATTGCCCGATCGTGTTTGGATATGTATGTGTGGAGATTTTTGGCGGCAATAAATGACTGCACAATTTTGTAATGGGTCACTGACAAAGTACAGGGTCAAGAGCGCAGTTATGAATAATTCAGAATGTCCTCTTCAAGATGAGGCCTGCTATTGTGATGCCTCTGTAACATTGCAAACCCCATAAAAAATACGAGATGAATAAATTCCCTACAAATATGTCTGGGTATGTACATGCTTTTTGTAACTTCATATGCCTCTTAGGTCTGAAAGCATCTAGGTTTAAAGTATTCATTAAATATGATTTAATTTTGGTCATGCAGAATCACTGAATATGAGATTGAAGTTTAAAAGGAGATTGAATAGTCGTTTGCACTTAAACGAGAGACTTAATTACACATCCTAGATGAGTGTAGTTGAAGGCTCATCCCTGTTGCTAATTAACCCCACACAACCATCATGACACCCAGATCACATAAATCATAGCCATTGGAAATATTATTTTTGTTCAGACGTGACCGTGATTTCAATCTCTATGACTTTTATGGACCACTAATAATGATGTATGCCAAGCAAATCGCTTTTAAGTAGGAGCAATCACTTTTTCAGCCCACTGCTCTTGTGCGCCTTTGTTTAATTGAAAGAGAGTCATTACAAAAGCCATATCAGCCCTAATGCTACAAGAACAAGAACCGTAATGACTTCACGGCAGATAAGTGTACTGAATATAAGATCTGAGGGTGTTCAGTGGTGTTTGATCCATGGGCGGTTGACACATTAATGGAGATTTTGTGTTAAAAAAATGACTGTTTTTCTGATGTCAGGTCATACAAGGTCATTTTTAACAATGGCATAATTTTTTTTTACATTTATTAATTTTTTTAGCTGACGCTTTTTTATCCAAAGCGACTTACAATTGCTATATATGTCAGAGGTCGCACGCCTCTGGAGCAACTAGGGGTTAAGTGTCTTGCTCAGGGACACATTGGTGTCTCACAGTGGATTCGAACCCGGGTCTCTCACAACAAAGGCATGTGTCTTATCCACTGCGCCATCACCACTCCATATTTTTTCATTAACAAAAGGAAAGAGTGTTACTGAAATGCCATTACTGTTTTATTCATGGTGCGCCTACCAGTCTGAACCAGTCTCTTGACAGTTATATCATAATTATTAATAAGTAAGGAAAAGGGATTTCCCAAAAACAAATTTCCTAACCATTTTTTCAGGATCTGCCTTTGCTTCAAAAGATTCTCCAATTCAAAAACGTCACTTTAGAAAACGAAACTAGTTCAGGCGGTGCAACACACAGTAATGGTGTTCTGTTCCTGAATGATTCAGTGTTTTTAAATGGATTGAGTAAATGATTCAATGACTCGTTCATAAAGACAGTTGTTCAGTGTTTTTGAACAAATCGGTTGAATGAATGATTCAAATAACTCACTCATACTGACCAGTCACTTGTCGCTATATACTGGCATGACAAAATGGCACTGCTGTGAATAAGGTCTAGCAACCATAAAGAACAACCAGTAACCACATAGCAATCACTCTTTCCACAGGTTATGTATTGTGGAAAGTATGACCTGTGGAAAGAGTGATTGCTATGTGGTTACTGGTTGTTCTTTATGGTTGCTAGACCTTATTCACAGCAGTGCCATTTTGGATTTTTAACCTGAATGAAAGCGAGGCAGAGATAGACATATATCTCTTTAGTGGGCCGTACTGTGTTTTTGGATTGTTCTGCTGATGAAACAATGCAAAGATATCTTTCCAAGAAACTTCAGTAGACAAAATAACTCCAGCAAACATGAGCTGTGGAAAATTATAAGTGGAATAGGAGCTTTATACAGCTTTTACAGCGGATGTCATTGAAAACACGGTAAGTCTATCCCTCACAGCCTCGCTTTCTAACCTGGTGCTGCTTTGAATAAGGTATATTCTTGTAAGGATGTAATCTTCAATTCTTCAATATAAATCTGAGACTTTTATTACCAGTATTTTCCGCCAAGGAAAAGTTGTATGTATAATCATATCATAACTTTACTTAAAATGCTAATTCCACCCAAGAATAAATTTCCTATAAGGCAATGTAGTTTACCTGTTTGGGGGTGGTTGTTATTCAATCTGGAATCTTTACTAAGATTAATTAAAACATTTGCTGCATCACTTTGTCCTATTATACATTATTACATTTTTCCCTGCACTTCAAAGCTCATGTCACCATATGATAAATACTGTCCAAGGTTGTTTCCTCATTCACTACAATTAGGCTTTATAGTGGCTTTAATAAGTGAGCAATTCATTAATCTAACAATTTAGTAATTTGCATATCACTTTAATACATGGCCATCATCAGCTATTAAATTAAAATCTTTTTTTATTATAGTAAAAATCTAGAATATTTTAAATGGACTTAATGATGGAATCAAAGCTCAATTCAAACACTATATTGGATTTCCATATTTTATATATATATATATATATACCAATATATATATACCAATAGCCATGATGGTGTTTTGCGCTCCCAGAATAATGATCTTCTCTCATTTGCAGTGCCCTCACTTCTGTCTCTGTCTCTTGAGAGAGACTCTTGCATTACTCTTTCCCCCTAAAAAGCTTAACCTGCTTTACCTGCTGCTCCAAGCACCTCAGCCGCATGACAAAAATAACATTTAGAGCCACCTTAAACATTCA